GCTGAAAGAGCAGGAGAAAGCTGCAACACTTTCAGAGACTCAGAAAAATACAGTGCTGCCTTTGTTCTCCTAAAGAATGGCTCTAGTTTATTTTTGTAACTCAAGTAACACCAGAATGACCTGGATGCCATCTGAGCATGCAGCAGATTGAGGCTGGAAAGGGCAGAACACAGATGGCATTTCCAGACATCCAGGGTTTGCCTAGTTACCACCACAGGCACTTACACAAACCCCTAGCTGAGGGGGAACAAAGCAGTGTGCTGTGAGGTGCTGCAGGGAGGGAGAGCAGCAAACTTGGCTTTTCCTCTTCATGTAGCCTACTACATCATTCCTGGTTTGCCTTTTTTTCACCAGAAAACAATTCTGCCTCCCAAGGTGAGCACTGGGCACTTGCACCAGAGCAGAAATGCTTGTCTAGTAAGAAGATATAAATGTGGTCTCCAGCAGCATTGGGTATTTGGACAGCAAATGGCTGTAATGAATTACAAGTAGTAGTACTTGTCATTTGTGGGAATACTTGCTTGCTCCTTGCACTTACCTGCTTGGCTCTGGAGTAACAAGTGCCAAACCTGCTCAAGAGACAAGGTGCTCTCTCAAGGCTTCACACAGCAACTCTTTCAGCTGGTGTTTGACTGACCCACCAGGAGCATCTCCTGCTGCCACAAGCCTGACTGCACTCCCACCACCTGGGCACAGACACCTTTCCTCCATGGAGCAGCTACTCCATCCCTCCTCAGCAGCACCTTCAGCCACTGCCCAGGACCCTGCTCTGCATGCACTGTTGTTACCTCCTGACTGCACAGACATGAAAGCTCCTCAGGCCTCCTCTGCTGAACTGCTGCACACCCCAGGGCCACCTTCCAAGCAGCAAATGTCTGGGGTTCACTCACGCCTGCCTTGTGGCCTGGGCCATCCTTGTACTACAAGAAGATGGAGGTATTACAGAATTTTGTCCAGAAAGCAGCCTAAAAGCTCTAAAACAAAAAAATTACCTCTCCCCAACAGAAATACACAGTGGAGTTAAAAATGAAGAAAACACTCCTCCCACCTAGCAGAGAAGATACAGTGGTTGCCACCCAGGAGTATACAGCCCTCAAGGAGACATGAAAATCTGAGTACATAACTCTAAACCACAGAGTAGTAATTTTTATCCTTATCCTTCAGAATGACAAGTACCCTTGCAAATTTAATGCCATTCCCCTAACTTCTGCATGCAGAGTGGTACTGACAGGCAGCATTTGGCTTTTGATTTTCTGCTTTCCCAAAGCAGCAGCAGAATTTGGAAGACAATGTAAGAACAGTGCAGTTCTGACAATGACCAGGTGAATTTAATAAGTCTTACCTTTCTCCTCCACTGACTGCAAATCTTGCTGTGTGTTCAATCAATCAGTTCTTCCAACTTCTTCCTCAGTTACTGAGTTTCTTACTTAAATTATAATTATTTGTCAGAGTAAAGCAACCAAAGTGGCTGAGTTAATTTATTTCTTAAGGTCTCTTAACCCAGCCACAATTCCTATGCTTTGTGGAATTCAAACCCTGCTGAGCCACAGGAATGCTCACCTGGCACTTCAGCCACTGGCAGTGGTCACAGAAAGAAACACACATTGGTGCACGTTGTAGCATTTGATCTTTATTATTTGGATCAAAGGTCAAATGATTACATTTGTCTGAAAGATCACGACGAAGGCCAATGATGTAAGAAAAGATATTTGAATCCCATTCGAGAGACTGCATCTGAGCTAGGCAAGTGCAGTAACAGTCAGAAGGCAATAAAATAAACACGGGTACAAACACAGGAGGTCAGGATAAGGGTTCTCCCCTCTCAGTGACCATTCTGTCAGGAGGGAGGGACATACACTTTTAGAAAGTGACAATCATTGGCAATTCTTAACTCTGCCTTCCCAGAACGGTGGTTATGGTTACTCCCCGAGAGGACCCAGTGCTTGCTCCAGCTCTACATTAGGCATCTACACCAGCTCTCAGCAGCCAGGGTCAGATGCAGTCACTGATTTAGTACCTTCCTAACACAGCACAGACAACTTCATATTTTTTTTCTCTTCAAGTATCAGCACAACGGTTTATTTACACTTGTGTACAATTCTTTTTACTGAACACCCATTGTAGTAAAACACTCATCACAGTACATTTGAAAGCAGGCTATAAAATAATACCTACTGTACACAGAACATTTAGCCTCGAGGATGTTACAGCACCTCTGACAGTTCAGAGAAGTGAAACAAAAGGAGAGAGGAGACACCAAGTTGTGCTCATCAGCAAAGAGCAGCAGCACCTGGGCTCAGCTCTCACTGGGGGAAACCTTTCCTTCCACCACATTCCTTCAGCCAGGTTCGAGCTCAGGAAGTACTGCCTGCTGCTGGTAAAATCCTGCTCGTCTAATGCAGGATAAACCCTGACATTCTCAATGTAAAAACTGTTTAACCACTCCTGTCACGGCTGGAGGAGGGGACTGAGGGCTGCCTGGGGCTTTCCCACACCAAACACATGCCAAATCAGGAGGTGAAATTACTCCTACAGTTTTCCCACAAAGGTGGCCTTGTTAACTACACATCAATAAATTAACTCCTCTGAGCAGTGCCATGTGGGCTCTCTCCTCACACCAGAACTATGGACAAGGCTGAATTAACAGAGGTCTGAAATGGCCATACTGAACACAGAGATCACACACACACACACACACACACACACAAAGCTTTAGACAGCAGGGCTTGAAGCAAGTGTTTCTGGTCATTCTGTACCCTACACATTCCTCTTCTGAAACAGAACCCAGCGATGCACTATGGCTTACTTCCAGAGCTGAATATATTGTTGAATTTAGCTTATTGAAAAAAATTATCACAACAGCAGCACATTATTTTATAAACCCTGCACAAACAAAAGACAATTTAGCCCTTGCCTGCAGAATTATGTTATGAGGGCCTGGTATTCCACACAGGAATTGAGGAAAGGAAAACAACAAAACAAACCAACCCCAACAACATACATGGTAAAAGCTTAATTGATTGAATAGAATCCTTAGGAAAAACACAGTCCAACTACCAAAGAGTAGTTCTCATTTCAGAGCTAGAGGCAGCAGCAGTGCTGGCAGCTCACTTCAGTTGTCTGGTAACACACATACAAAATACACTTCGATTTAGTACAGTTAAAGGGTTGTGGCCTCAACAGACATAGAAAATTCGATTTTTAGCACTGGAGTTTCACTAGGCATAAAAGAGCAGCGAAGAATTGGGATGATGGAAGGTGCTTAAAAACAATTTAAAAAACCCCAAGGCAGGTGCGCCATGTTAAAATTATTTCAGAATTTACCTGTTTTTTCTTGCATGAGCTGTTAGAACGGTTAAACTCACCTAACCTTTCTGTACTGTTTCCTGATGTACATATTAAATGTAGCTATAAAAGAGAAACATATACTTTTATGTTGAAATACATTCCAAAAATTGCCTAAAAAAAATATAATCACAACACTAACAGGACAAAGAGCTTCTCCAGCTCTTAACAGTCTGAATCCTTTTCCCCCTCCCTTCTCAGGAAAGCTGCTCATCCCCTCCCATAACTGCAGCAGACAGGATGTGTTCTCTCCATCTCTCTCTCGATTCATTCCCTGGCTGTACTCACATGCATGTCCCCCATTTGATACTGTGTTCCCCACTGCCCTTCAAAATACAGCTGGCCTCTAGAAAATGTTCAAATCTTGGTAAAACAGCAGAATCTTCCAGGTAGCAAATCCAGCCTTACTGCTTTAATTTTCCAAAAGGAGAGTCTCCCTTGGAAATTTCAGAAAAATTCTAAGTTGTGGTTGGCAAACCAAAGCTCAGTTCAAAGCACAGAGCAGCCATCAGAGCTGACAGGCTTCCCCACTTAAAGCAGCTGTGCAACATGAAGCCTCCAATGCTCAAAATGTAGAAT